TCAGTACCATCGATCATCACGGTCATTTCAGATCAGCTCTAAGAAATTAGTGTGATTGGCTGAAAAAAACAGAAAGCATGAGAGAAATAATGGGAGCGAAAATGCACAACTTTCGGCTACCTGTACTAATAAATTCACGCTATATCCCTCTTCTCTCTCTCTCTTTGTTTTCACTATCTTTCAATTATCTCTCTATCAGTCAATGTTATTACATCTCACCCAACTCACTACCAGCTTACTATTTTGACAAGGAGCCATGCAGACAAAACCATGCAGGTTGACAAGGGGCCTGTGCATTTACCAGACTACCGAGAGAGAGAGAAAGAGAGATCTAGTTCAGTGTCAAGAAGAAGTTCGATAGGAGAAACTCGTGATGACTTCCTTGGATCCAATACTCTCAAGGTCATAGGGCCAAGACAGCAGACGAACAATGGGTTCTTTCTTTTAGCGTGAAAGGGGGTTTGCTGCAGGAGAAGGGAGTGAAAAATGAATTTTTTTTTCGTAAAATTTTTCATGAACTGAATCATTGCACGCCTTGTGGACCACATTACCCTTATACACATGATGGGTCCCTGGGTTAAAAAACTATCATTGTTTTTTTCATATCAACTGAAATCCTCATATATGAATATATAAGTTACTTACACTTGGCACATCACATATAGCTATGTGCCTAGTAGCTGTATAGCAGCACGAACACGGATTCTAGTTAACTTATTTTTCTATAACACTCATTGCAGAAGAGCTACACCCATGAAAGTTGGGTTAAGGGTAAAAGTGCCCAAGTCTTCCTCAGGTCCCAGAATTTCGATCTTGATACCTAGCCCTTTGTAAACTATGTAATTTGAGCGTTAAATCATAAAAATTAAAATTTTGGCGTGTTGCCAAAATGCTCAGAAGTTGCCTATCCCAAGAAAACACGCACCTTTATAAAAGTTTTCGAACGAGTGGTCAACCACCTCTCATCTATTTCGTTTTAGAGATATTTTTATTTCTAAATTTGTCTGTACCCATATATGTGATGAATGTATGAATGTATTTATATATGTCCCAATAGCGGTCGGGTGGGACCCCTTCTATCTCGGCTTCTCTTGGGCCGATTCCAATGAAACTTGCTACTCTTGAACATTGGCTCGACTAGGTTCAGACCCCAGACTAGGTTCCTCTTCCTACCTTTTTCTAGAACTCTCAAAAACCGCGATTTGGCATAAAGCGCTGTCCCTGCACAGGCTCCGACTTCAGATGGTGTTCTTGAATCTGACTATTCGTAGGTTTTTCTATAGGCTATTGTTGGAGTGGAGTGATCTGAGTTTGAGTTGATTTTGATTGGGTGAATTTCAGGGGAAGGGGGGAGGAGGTTTGGGTTGTGGGTCCCCGGGGCAGTGGCCAGCTGCAGTGTATATATGTGTGTTGCGGTGTCCTGTGTATATGTATGTATGTATTAATGGTGAGACAGAGAGAGAGACAGGCAGACAGAATAAAACAGACAGTTAGTTAACAGGCAGGCAGATAAAGGGTCAGAGACACAGAAAACCAACCAGACAGGGAGATAGATAGACAGACAGTTATAGACAAAGGCAGGGACAGAGACAGAAACAAATGTATATATATAGTATCTTATATATATATATATATATATATATATATAATATATATATAGATAGAGAGAGAGAGAGAGAGAGGAGAGAGAGAGGAGAGAGCGACAGAGATACGGTCAAACTGACAGAGATCACCGGATAGACTGAATACAGACCGACCAGAGCAGTGACGTGGCGGGTGGGTTGAGAAAAGAATCCGAGAGTGGACAGAGAGAGGGGGCGGGGGGGCGAGGGGGGTGGGAAGAGGACAGATAGACAGAATTCGTTCACTCATCACTCTGTTACATCTGACAGGATTTGGAATTTCTAATCAACGAGTGCTGGGGAGTCGTGTAAAATTCTTCGCTCGCATCTACTCTTGCTATGAGTAATAGTTATGTCTTTATATATAAGACCACCACAACACGAACACACACACACTACACACACACACACACACCCACCACAACACAGCACACACAACATATATTATATATCATATTATATATATATATATATATATATATATATATATATATATATATATATATATATATGTATATGTGCTTTGTGTTCTATAATACATTAGAGATAGTAGTTAGATAGTAGATATACACATTATATACAAAATATATGTGCGCGGTGTTTGTACTGTGTTTATGTGTTTCTAAAGATTGCTTCTTATAAAATTTGATACATTATACTAATTATTCTACATTATCATCCTCCACGTGCTTATTTCCTTTAAAATGAGAATTCCGCTTCAAACCTTCTTCTGAACTCTCCATGTTGTAGAAACTTTGCATTGTACATAAGTCTTCTCAGTCAAGACCCTATGACTTTCTTTTCTTCTTCTCTTTTTTCTTTCCTTCTTTCTTTCTTCTTTTTAATCTTCCATCCACCGTTCAGCTGCTTTACTACCATTTATTTTTCTGTTTTTTTTATTACACTTCCAGGATTTTCTAGGATTCTGTCTTCTCATCTCTTCGGAGTGCACAGCCTCCTTTTACTCTTCGTGTTCGCGTGTTATCATTTGTCACGAATTCCTTCCTTCGGTATCCTTGGGACTGGCGAGTATGTAGCGGTCTTGTGTGTATTCATTTTGGTATTCTTGGGTTGGTAGCGATGGTATCTGGTGTTGGGTTTGTTAGTGGTGGTATTCAACCCTTTGGTAGTAATATAATGCTTACTGAGTAATATAATGCTTATTGTTGTTATTATCATCATTAGTTTCTTCCCAGTGGTATTAATATAACACTTACTGTTTTATTAATCATCGTTAGTGTTATTGTCGGCTGTTATTTGATTTTCCTAAATTATTCATTATCGTTTTAGCCACTATTATTTTCATTTACCAATTCTTGTTGGGCCGTTTTTTCAGTAATCATTGTTCATATTTTTTACCTATTCATTAATTGTTTATTCAAATTTATTTTGTTATTTACTTATTGTTAAACATTCATCATTACTATTATTCAATTTAATCCATTGTCCCTTCAACTTACTATCATTTTTACTACATGCTATNNNNTGATGGCACCTGTATTCCTCACAGTAAAAGGTGTGACATGAAATACGACTGTTTCGATTCTAGTGACGAAGCAGAGTGTGAGTTGATACGACTTCCTCCAGAGTATAAGGTGATTTTTCATCTCATTGCTACATACATATTTGCAAACATCCATCGATACTTGCGCTAGATTATGCTACAGTATACAACTAGTATATAACTGTATGAGGATATAGGTATTTATAGCACTGGCTCACTTATTTATTATAAATTATAATATATATATATATATATATATATATATATATATATATATATATATATATATATATATATAATGTATATATGTGTATATATATACATATATATACATAGACACACCACACACACACACACACACATATATAATTGTTAGTAAGATTCCCTTCCAGACAGCGTGGCCCCAAGGAGAAGGCACCCTGCCAAAGCCTTGAAGCCTTACACCTCTCGAGATGCTTCTAGAAAACCTCGTTCAACCTTAGCCTCACGTGGTACGAGACGCGAGCGGTCTACGTTAACCTTAAGACTCAAGTGAGGTAAGATTTTTTAAAGAATGTTTTAATTCCATTTGTTACTGTGGATATTATTTTGCTGTGACATGATGTCCGTTTTATATTGCTTCTAAATTTCCCCATGTGGACTTACCATCCACTGGTAGCGCGCAGGATCGAGCCCAGGTCTGCAAGATTGCTAGCCAAGGACGCTGACCGTTGCACCTCGCAGCTAATCTCGTGTCATCTATCCTCGTTTTTTTTTTTTTTTTTTTTTTAAGATGCAGACTTTTTCTTTATTCGACCACCTTGTATATGACGATGTATTCAGCCTTTAATATCATTTTAATTTTCATCACATTAAATAGCGGTCATTAATTATAGGAAATGATGAGATTTGTCAATCTAAAATTACTGGTGAATTAGTCTAATCATTATTATATTATTTTATTTTTCTCATCATAATCCTTATCGTTATTATCATTCTTATTATTATCATCACTATTATCATTATAATTTCGATTTATTTTTTTATTTAAATCGATTTAATAATTTATTTCTAAAATTATCATTATTGTTGTTGCTATGATTATGCCCTTATCCATATCATTACTATTGTAGTTATCACTATCATAACTGCAGCTATCTTCCTCAACATCGTTACTATACTTATAACCATATCAATGTAGTTACAATATCAAATATCCGAACTCCCAGCCTGAACGCACGGCCGTGGGGCTGTGGCGCCGAGCGTCGGCTTCCTCAACACGGTCGACAACGCCGTGTCCGTGACCGACCGCCAGAGCAGCACCCACGTCGAGAGGCGCGGCCGCTCCAAGGGCGCCGACAACGCGGTCGCCGGGGAAGGTGGGGCTCCAGATGCCAAGTTCTCTGCTTTCTGAATGGACTTTGCTTCACTCTAAGTCACAAATAGGTGAATAGATATATAGATACCAAAGGGCTATAGCATCAACGTATTACTGTTTAATAATACTAAAGCCCTTGATTTTGATTGAAAAGGTTGTTGTTAACTATTTCCATGTTCCTGTTTCCCATACAGCCTTTAATTTTGTCTATGTGTGATGCCACCCACCCTACTTATGCGGGAAATTCCATCCCCTTGGTTGGTCAACATGACATGTGGAATCTTAAAGGGCAGTGATTATTAAATATCACAGTGTATCATAATTTACGAAAATGTTACTATCAGGGGGTTACCAGTTTTATCATATAACCTCATTTTCGTGGTTACAGCCCATAGTAAGGAGAGGGAGGATAAAGAAAGGTAAAGAGATGAGGTTGGATGTAGGAGTGCAACATTGCCACATGTATAGGATTTCAGCAACAGAACCTTTGAGGATATAAGTACAAATCTCTGCATTAATGTTTATATATACCTACACATCTCACTCCATCTATCCTACCTACACCTTGCCAGTCCGTCTCTACCTGGGGAGCGAGAACCCCATCGTGAGCAGCCGGAAGTACCAGGGCTTCTTCACCTGCGACTTCGACCTGACCAGCTACCCGTTCGACCACCAGACGTGCTTCATGAAGCTGCAGCTTCAGGTTTCCGTGATGACGTCAGGTGAGCCTGGCATGTGCATGGCGCATTCGCTATAACTGTCTTCTTGCATATCAGATGTAAATTTGGGTATAACAAGCTGTAGCGTTCTATACAATTACATAGAATATGTCCTTTGATGACTTAAATTCAGAAACTTTTATATTCATATGCTGTGTACCCTTATCATTACCATTGACAATCTAATAACGATGGTAGCATTTTTTCTGGGTACTCATAATGATAGCAATCATTCATTACATATTCAATGAACCACACTTTTATTAGTCTGCGAAACACTTTTTTCCAGAAACAGAATTAGTTATTTCTTTATGTGTTGTAAATTACACAGATGGGACGTGGAAGGAAGCCAGGTACAGTACTTGGGAAATCCTCTCCTTCTCGAATACGAGCTAGGATCTTTCGCTATCTTGCCAAAGTCATCAGCGAGGGACGATACTATCCTTTTGGTAAGGTTCAAGTTCATTAGAGAGAGAGAAAGAAAGAATAAATTACATTCGTTATATGTTCATATAATATACTTTTGCAATTGACGCAATGCATTATTAATAATTCCAATGATATTGTTATTTCCATCGTTACATATGTACGTACCTTCAGGTGAGCATCCCAATGACACGCCTTGTTGGTTACGTCGTCATCAGCATCTACCTGCCGTCCCTCATCATGCTGATGATTGGTTACCTGACGCTTTTCTTCCTCAACGACAACTTCGAGGTTCGAGTCATGACGGCTCTTACCACGCTCTTGGTGATGGCTACTCTCTTCACGCAGGTTGGTGACAGATGGTTTGCTTGATGAAGAGAAAAGTCATAAAATGGAAATCAGCAATATTGCAATTCTTTTCGTTCTTTATTGAAAATTATGTTGTCAGCAATTATTCCTTTCATGTTGAATTTACAGGCGTCTTCTGATACCGTGTCAATCTGGAAAAATTATTTTGTGTAAATTTCATATTAACTCCTCAACATAAAAATCAGTCACATAGTATATGTTCAAGAATAGACCTTATCTGAAACCTACAGATGATCACAGATGTGTTGTATACTTTCAACTGTGTCTCCAGGTATCTTCATCCCTTCCCAAAACCTCCTACTTCAAACTAGTGGACGTGTGGCTGCTCTTCTGCATCTTCTCCACATTCCTCGTCATCGTCTTCCACATCATCATCGACCTCTCACTCCACAACGAAGGGACGACGAATAGCACCGCTCAGACGAAGGTCAAGGCTGGCCCCCTCCCACGTCGATCTGTGCACTTCGGGCAACACGAACGTGGCACCTTTCTTGCCTCCTTCCCCTTCTACAGGCATGGCACTTGAATGAAACCCATCTGAAGAGTTCCAGAAGATGTCAGTGCCAGATATAGAGAGGTTCGCCCGTTGGCTGATGGCTGCTGTATTTCTGGTGTTCAATGTTTTTTATTGGTTGAAGGCATATGGCTTTGTGTAATATACTAATGGTGTTTCCACCTTTTCACATTCTTAAGATTATCAATGTTATCAGTATGTGTGTGCAGTATAGGCAATTAACTTTTTCAGACCCCTTTTCCATCATTTCTATATAGATTTTCTTTCTATTTGACCATTTCTTAAACCTTTTTTGGTCCAATTGATATTCGCTGCATGTAAGTTTCACTTTGTCCATTTTTATTATTAGGATACAGAAAAATGATTATTCTGTATTTTGGCCTGTATTTGTTTCCAATTTTTAATATCGTATCTGCTTATATCTTACAAAAAATAGTTACATACTTATATACAAATATTAATCAATTCATGTACGGGAATGTATACAAATACTTCTTCCATATTTGTATGTAAAAACTGTTCTTTTTATTCTAAAATTCCTGTAATAACACCAGAGTTTATAATATTATAAAATATCATAGTCTATACTATGCACATTTTGGGACAAATGTATTTGAGTAATCCTAGGAAATTATTTAAAGCTTCTAGATGATACCTGTTCATTTCATGTACAGCTACACAGAAAACTGTCGTGAGGAGGGGTGTCAATATCGAACAGAAAATTACGTTACGGAAGGGTTGGTATTTTAGGTTTCGAATTTGTCTCGTTCTGATTCATGTCTCGAACAGTCGTTCCAGAATTCCTGTGGATTTACTGTGAGATGATTTTATTTCCATAAGGAATGGAATTCGCCTAAAATGTTTAAATAAGCTACACATACCCGAAAGTAGTTGGAAAATCAGGGATACCAACAGTTTGGTACCATTAACAACAATATTTCATAAGTATTGTTACTCATTTCAGAATGTTTAACATGGTTTTCTAATCATTTTTCATCATAGCTATACATCACACTTTTTATTGTAAAAAGTGTAATGTACACTGGACCATATGTCCATATTTCCTGAGTTGGCAGTTCCGGGTAGCGCAGAAAATAAGCCTTACATTTGTCCTATGATATACTCTATGGTTGGACACGTGACCGCTACAAATGTTTGATACAAGGTCATTTTGAAATAGGCAACAAAATTAGATTCAAAGTACAGAAAGATTCCAGCCTTTGCTTACATAATGTAGAACCAATGCTTCGTAGACATGTAACCTAGTGCCTGATACATTAGTCAAGTGACTTCAAGGCTCCTGCTTACTTCCTGGTCCGATAGCTCAGAGTCAGGAACTACAACCACTTTGTTGTACCGTCAGTGCCACTACATAGGCTTTTTTGGAATTTCAATACACAATTGGAATATCTGAAAAAATATAATAGCGCTGCAAGCAGCCCGAAACCCGAGCGTGTGGCGATCACGCCAAACTCACTACCTGATCTATCATTACAATCAAATTCTCCGTGCCACCCAAGCGGATAAGAATCCTCTGTAGGACTGTAGCCCAGGAAGTCTTGAGTTCTGCGGAGTGTCAAGCCTCTGCTCCCTCACGTAGATGCGTAGGTAATCTTTATTATTGAAAAGAAGCTCACTTGAGTGCACCTGATTATGTACTAGCCACTGTCCCAGCCCAACACCCTTTCTCTTCTCAAGATGTCTCATAATGCGTTCAGACAAAGATGTGGTTAAGGACAGCGCCATGCCCAACTCTAAATAATTGTTTCATCTTTATGTCCTTATAAACATGCTTCTATATTCGTAACCTCAACAAAAAATTAGTTCATTTCGTTTAAGTTACGACTCAAGATATCTTGAGGACGATTCTTTTTCCTCAAACTTCCGATGCGATTTAGTGTCCTGCTCCCCTCGTCGCTCACCCCCACTATACCACGACATATTAAAATAGTTAAAACCAAAAATTTATGAATAATATGAATGGCTTCACGCGTTCCTCCCGAACTCGACATTCAGCTTGTTTATATCTACCCTTTCATCTGGTTAAATTGCCCCACCGAACTCTCTGAAACAGGGTTGAAACGTTCTCAATAACGCGCGGGATAGGGCAGTAAGCAGACCAGCACACCTTTTCCACCCGCTAAACTGGTTTTTTAGCGTTCAACTCGCACCACAAGTCCTCAATAGACGATCGCAAAGCCCACTCAGCCCACTCCCAATTGAGTCACTATAGTGAGCACCATAGTTAGTATCTACTCGACGGTGTATACTCAGATAACAGTCCACATACAGGGCGTAGACGAGTACTTTTGTGTTCATCCACCCCCTCCCTCCCCCCCCCTCCTCCCTCACGTATATAATAATGGTTATGTCTTCCCACTCTGCGAATTTTCACCAGGTGCTTGAAGGTCAGGCACCGTCATGAAAGAAGATGAGGTCTTACATATGACTGAGATCGTCTTCACTCTATGCGCATGTCACTCGTCAGCAACTTATACCTTATTCATCCTATAAGCAATGAACCTATGTGTCTCCTATTGTTTCCCTAGCCATTCAAACAGCGTCCACATCCTTCTTTTACAGCAGGGAACCAGCTGCAAGTCCCTTCATTCTCCAGCATTTGCTACTGTGCGACTTACTTCCATAGCCTCTACAATCTGACTGTGCCTCGCCACGGTGATCTGCTTCTTGCCATTCGCCCAGATGGACTTCTGCAAAGTCATCAAGTGTATTTTAGTGTAATTAGTGCCCACTGCTGCGCTAACAGGGTATCTATAGCATGCACATTAAGGAATCATATGATAGCCACATACCTATCAAACAACCTCGGTCACTCTAGTTTCCATCAGTCCACTCTCCCATCCATCCGAAACACTGCACCAGACATCCACCTGTTCACTTGAGTGCAGACATACCACTTGTCGCACTTGGCAGCACAATATTCACCTGTCACTTGAGCAACATGTTGTGTGGTGTCACTGTCACTTGCAGACACCACCTGTTCACTTGGGCAGACATCCACATGTCACTTGGCAGACATCCACCTGTCACTTGGCAGACATCCACCTGTCACTTGGCAGACATCATCCTGTCACTTGGCAGAACATCCACTGTCACTTTGGCAGACATCCACTCACCTTGCTCACTGCAGAATTCACCTGTCACTTAGGCAGACATTCACCTGTCACTTGGCAGCACATTCCACCGTTGTCACTTGGCAGACATTCACCTGTCACTGGCAGACATCCCCATAAACCACACCAACTGTCACTGGCCAGACAGTCCACCTAGCCACTTTTGCCAGCACATCCACTGTAGTCCCCCCCCCCCCACCCCCCCCACTCCCACCCCCCCCCCCTGCGTCCCCTAATATCTCCCCATGCAGACATCCACCTGCTACACTTGACAGACATCCACCTGCTCACTCTGTCAGATCATCCCATCCTGTCACTTGCCAGCCATCTCAGGATGTTTTAAAAGTCGACCAGGCAGCGGCAGCACAACCAATCATATTCACATGCGAAACTACTGAATACTACTCTCTGCCGTAAACCCAGGCAGTTTCTAGAGAGGATCCTCTCGTAGAGATAGAAGGATACCATCATTGATACCAGCAAATACTTTAATACTCCCCATTACATCGCCTGCGTTGTGTTCACATAAAAGCCAATCTTAAAAATGCACTTAAAACATTACACATTTTAGTATTGCCAGATATTTCCTAGTGTACAACTACCAAATATTAAGGTGAGCGATAGGCCAATGCATCGTAAATCATAAGAGTCTAATTACCTTCTAAGAACAGTCCACCTTTTTACGCACATATAATGTGATTACAGCAGGGGACCAGTGCCAAGTCCTAGTCTCCAGCCATTTTATTACCGTGTGCGCACCTAGCCGCTCCGTCTCCCACCGCTTCCCATGGCTCCTAACCCTTCCATCGCCTCTGGAGTAAGTCCTGCCACGCTTCTCCTGCGCCCGCCAATGGACTTCTGCCAGGCATCAAGTGTTTTGCTGCTTCTGTGCCCCCACTGTGATAACAGCGCCGTGCTGCATGATAAGGCCCACCCATTGTGCGACAACCTCGTCACTCATTCTTCAGTCCATCTATCACTTAGCACCTGCTCGAGCTGGCAACGACATCCACCTGTCACTTGCAGGACATCACCTTGTTACTTAGGCAGACATCCAACCTTCACTTGGCCCAAATCATCCAGCCTGTCCACTTGGCCCAAACATCCACCTGCTCACTTGGCAGACATCCACCGTCACTGGCAGACCATCACCTGTCACCCTGCGCAGACTATCACCTGCCTCCACTGGCCCAGCACATCCATCCTGTCACTTGGCAGACATCACCTGTCACTTGCCAGACATCCACCTGTCGACTTGGCCAGAAACACCGCAGCATCTCACTTGCGTAGACATTTCACCTCGCCTCTAGCGTGCGGCAGACCATTTGCACCTGCGCCTCTACTTGCGCAGACATCACACTAGTCATTAGCGTCAAGACATCCACATGTCTACTGTCAGCACATCCACTGCCCCACTTGCGCAGACATAACCACCCGTGTCACTTGGCCCCAGACATTCACCTGTACACTTGCAACATACCACATGTCACTTAAGGCAGACATCCATACCATGTCACTTGGGCCGCAAGCATCACCATAGTTCACATTGACCGACAGACATTCAGCGCGTAGTCACTAGGCAAGCACAATCACCTGCTACACCTCGGGAACTCACAAGTCTACCTTACACCCATTTCCTCATGGCAGAACATCCACTGTCCAAACCATTCTGTGCAGAGAGCGAGATCCATCACTGCTTCACTTGCGACATCACCTGCCCCACTTGAGCAGACATAGCTACAGTTTACCTATTACATTGCGCTGACGACACTCCACCTGTCACTTGGCCAGACATCCAACCTGTCACTGGCCAGACCTATCAGCATGCTTTTCCTAGGACATAACCTCCAGGAGGCAGCCATTAAACAATCTTTCACT